CCCCCCACGTCCACAGGGCTCGCGCTGCCTGCCATGAGGTGAAGGGTCTCCTGGCTGGGGACCAGGAAGGCCCACGCCTCCCTTTGATCTACCCCGCGCTGGCTGCTACCTGCCGATAGCATATTCACACGCACACGGCGCTCTCCCTTTCAGCCACAGAGACAACTCTACATCTCTCGCTTCCTCCTCCTCCGATTCTGTCTGATGCGTTACAAACTGTGCACACAGCTGTGGGTCTAAAGCTTCTCTCTAATGCAATGCTGCTGTCCATGAAATGCACTTTTTTTTTTCTTATTTAGAATATCTTAGTATTCGGAAAAATATTACAATTTAAACGGTTTTGGTTGAAATGTTTGGTGTGCACGCTGTCATCTGGTTACCATTTGAAGGCAGAATTGCAGCTAATGATATCCTAGAGGAAAACGACAGTAGCTAAACATGCAACAGTTCCTCTGTTTCTTTCTCCACCTACTTTTCCTCCCTGTCAGGCGGTCCTTTGAGTCTGGGGGAAAAAAAGCAGATTTTTATAGATATTAATACTTTTTGGGGTTTATACGTAAAGTCTCTGCTCGAAGTAAAGCTTTGTTCTAGCAGACAGTTTGTTTGCCCCTTTTCTGGATATTACTGTGCCACATGTATATAGAGTGCCCCCCCCCCCCCCCCTGCACACTCACACACTTTCTGCCTCTCACATCTGGATTCAATCAGAATCCAACAATCCCTTAGCAGCCTCTCTAAGAGAGAAGTAGGTTAGAGCAGCAGTTTCAAATAGCAAGCAACCTCATTAGAATATCTACAGTGTGAAAGTCTGAACGTACAAAAGAGAAAACCAGAGAAATCTATGGACACACAAATATTAGTACTGCAGAACAGTGTATGTATCGCATCTAAATGACAGTGAATATGTACACATAAACATGATCAATCAAAGAATTATTTGTTTTGGTATACAGTACTTTTTATGTAGAAAGGAAGAAGTAGATTGTACCAAGAGCCCCACCTCCCTCTTTACAGACTTTGGTCACCTTCTTGCAGACTGCATTGGGTTGCGAGTTTGGGGAAATTTGGGGCTTTTTGCTTTGCATCAGCCTGCAACTATTTGCTGTAAAGCATGCACGCACACACATTTATGCAACAGCTGCCATTGCACACTGTCTGTCTACACGACAGCGCTGGTCCTGTAGCCACAGTGATGCTGAGCTAAGGGCCGGTGTGCTGTTTGATTGACAGGGCTGATGTTTAATGAATGGTTTTATTTATTTTTCACAAGAAGTGAATTTATGTAAAGAATACATTCCATGATAATATCATATACCACGGCCACATGCCAACAAAATGTATATAATCAACTAAATAAATAAATATATTGTTTATTGACCTGAATAACTCATTATGGTCTCGCTCTTCAGGTTTCAATATTATGTACCTGTGCTTGGCAACATCTAGTTAAACAGGAAGCAGTACTTTGCCCGAGGCTGTGCCAAGAGTTTTTAAATTCTGAGAAATGAGAGAAATAAATTCCACTGACACCTTGAAGTCTTGAAAAGAGAACAGTGCTACATCCTGCCACGCAGTATTATTAAAAATGTTTTTTCCTGCAGAGATAACATTACACAGCTTTCTCTCTCACACACAGGTGCCTCTCTGTCTTCCTCCCGCTTTCTGTCTCGCACACACTCACACACACACACACACGTTAGCTCTCTATAGCTGAAAATTGAATCGATTAATCAATATTTGATTAAATCGTTGAAGTTAATCAAATTTATCAAGCAAAAAGGACCAAAATATAATTTGCTGGTTGCAGCTCCTAAAATGTGAGAATTTGCTGCTTTCATTTTTTTTTTTTGAAAACGTCACCTCTGGGAAATTATTATGCGGATTTTGTTTTACTTGTTTCTGAAAATTATAAATGAATAATCAAAACTAATTAGAATATTCATTAGGGGCAACCCTAAATACCAACTCTTTCTCTTAGCCTCTCAAATTTGACAAACCACTTCTCCTAATCTCATTCTGTGCCGTAAATAAGATGCAATTTTTTATAATCATTAAAATGTTTTTTTAAAGAGGTCTAGAATTAAAGAACAAGGCTATAATTTGTCTATTCTTTGTTAAAAGCAAGCACTTTATCAACTTCTGCATGTGCAGTGGTGTAGAATTCCGTCGATACTTTCCACAAAGTGATCAGCTGTCTCCTCTGTGATTTGTCTCTAACAGGTCTTCCCCCCCCTTCTTAATGAGGCTGAGATCGCACACACCAAAAAGCTCTTCCGACGGAGGAGAAATGACCGACGGTAATGACGCATGCAAGCTTTTGCACACACACACACACACGCATACCTACCTCAGTGAGAGGGAATGTTTTTGCTGTTGATGTCAGTGCACAGCCAGTCTTATAGCCTTCTCTCCCCCGCCAAAGCAACGTCAAGACAGGAATGCAGGCTCCACACTTCACTGCAGACAGGAAAAAGAATTTAAAAAAAACACTGAGGCATTCAGAGTTTTATTCAGTCAACCGTGTTTGCCCTCAACGCTTGAGCTTTCTTTCTTTTTATGACTGACTATGCATTCCCTCGTCGTGCTTTGTGACATTTAACCTCGTTAACGTCGTCCTCCTGTCCCCCGAACTCTTAACTCGGACGCTCAATTTCTTTATCCTGGCACATCTGCTTTAATTGCACACACTCTGAAATCTAATTTCACCCAAGTCTGACTTCATTGAGACCACGTCCTGAAGAGAAGAAAACAGCCCCCTCTCTCTCTCTCTCTCTCTCTCTCTCTCGTTCTCTCGCTCCCTGCCCTGATGTCACTGGAAAACCGTTCTTCAGTTGCTAAGAGACAAGCAAAGAGAAAATATTTGGGTTGTATTTGTGGTTAAAAAAAAAAAAAAAAAAGAGGAAATTGTAGCTACACCAAATGGACAAAAGCACTTTCATCCTTGTTTTTAAGTGCAGAGAGTAATTGGTTCTGTCATGCGCTATTGTGTTTATGTGTGATGGACGCAGCGCAGGCCTGGCAAAAAGATGGGAACAACAATATAAACTTGGACCAAAAGCAGTTTGCTTTGGTTTCAGTCTGTTTGTTTTGTGAGCTGGAAAATGAACCAGAGGCCATCCTGTTTTCTTGCACGCTTCCAATTAGACTTTGTCAGTGCGTTACAGTTCGTATATGAAAGGAGATTTCACATACATGTGCGTGCGTGTAGCTGTTGTATACACGTGTGTGTGCGCGTGGAAAAAATATTCACGTGGATGCTTCACTCGTGTCAGAGATGGTGACTTGCATCGGATCAGCTGCACATTGACCAAAGATTTGGACCGCTCTGTTCTACAGCTTGCATCAAAGCATACCACTTTACCAACACACACACACACACACACACACACACACACAGCCCAACCCTTGTTCTATCATTGGGAACAATTGAAAAATGTGAAACATACTAAAATGTAACAAGACACTGCCTAGAATGCTCAAACTGAACAGAAAGAGTTAAACCTGTGATTAAGGGCTGACCAAATACGGAGAAATGTTGAGCTTGAAGGCGGATTCTTAAACTTGGATAAAGCCAATTCTTATCACAAAGTTGAATAATTTAGTTAATCTGAACCTTTCAACCACAAGAAATGAGAAATTCAATCTCGTTGGACTAAAAATCTGTATTGCTTTCCGCTCGATGACTGTTGAGTGATGAAATTAGACTTGGGTACTTGGACTGAATATGTATTTTGCAGTGACTTTTGATATAAATATCCCAACAGGCTATGATGTGAATCCAAAATTGGCAATTCATATTAGTATTCATCTCTGATGTGGTTATATTTTGGGGTAACACGCAGCCTGGGGAAAGCCTTTTAACCTCATGCCCCCTGAAACCAAAGAGTGCTGTAGTACATGTTGCACTGCTGAGATGGAGAAAGCAAGAACCATAAATATATGTAAGAAAGGTTCATCACAGCTACGCCTGATCCAGAGAAGAGTATAAAATGTATTCACGTGTGGTAACGTTCATATATTTTCCTTTATGAAGCTTAGCATGTTTGCCCATCAAATACATTAACTATCAAACCAGCTAATCCTCTTATGTCTATGTTGTCTCCAGGTTCCCAAACAGAACAAATAGCCTGTGGCGATGCATATTAATTGTAATGAGATACCACATAAATAGTCATATATATTTCGTGGTGTACTGTCAACACAGCTGGGAGAAGAAAAGAGAAAAAGTATGAAGGAAGTGATGATGAAATATGGAGATGAATATTGATCATTTGAATACATGTACAAAGCTTGAGGGTTGTATTGAATAAAGCACCAGAAAGAGAAACGGAGTGAGACAGAGATTGAGTAAGGGAAAAGTGTAGGCTGGCTGCGGCAGGGAGGGAAAGAAAGGGGAGGTAGTGCATGTGTTTCTACTTTAGTATGCACGTCAAGCAGGGCTGAAATTAGTTGTGATTTACTGGAATGTGCTGCTTACTGCTCTCTACTCCAAAACAGAAAAAGGGGCAAAGAAGAAGCTAATATGCTCCTTCTTCTTCTTCTTCTTCGCTTTCAGGCGCTAGACTTAAATCTGTCTGTTTTTTTGCGAGAACATTTTACTCACAATTGAAGAAAGATGATTTAACACGACATGCCATCCAGTTTCCCACACTTCTGTTATTAAGGGATAAGTAAACAAATGCTTAAATGTGAGCTGTTGAATTGAGAGGGATAATTCTTAAGAGTCTGTGGCACAAAATGTGTTTAATGATGCATTGTGTGTGTGTAAAAGTAAAAGTACACGTGAGGTCTGCTTGTCTTTTCTGCCTCTGGCCACGGAGATTCAAAGTTATTGACTGCAATCTCTTAATACATGCATGCGCGTATGCACACACATTCAGTCAGTTCCTGAGATTTAGAATCTTAAAACTTGTTTAAAACAGAGTAATGCTCAGTCAGGCGGCCTGAGACCCGTCTCCCCACAGTCCATTAAAGCCGCTGTGTTGTGGCCAGCATGGAGCTCATGCCGAGTTATTGACTGTCTGGGCCTGCAAGCTGCTCTTCCTCCGGGCCAATCGATTCGCTGGTCTGGGTCAACCAGTGGTCCAATGGATCCACGAGTTCTCCATCCACATACATCCACAGCAACAGCCACGATCAATCATCAGTATCCTACCACCTCTCATGATCATAACTGCCAATTCATTTCACATTTTGAGTTACCACTTCCTATAGTTCTCTGCATGTTGTTTGAATGACGTAGTAATCAACCTGTAGTTGTTTTTTGTTGCTTGTTTCGCCTCTTTGCTGCCTTGCTTGTTTGTTTTGTTTACCTCCCCCCTGTCTTCTCCTTTCATGCTGTCTCCAAAAATTCCCTTCCCTTTTCCACAAATTGATCTGCCACTTTACGCCACTCTTCATCCTTCCACTCGTCTGCATTGTGGCACGCCCTCCTCTCCTGCTTTTAGAGCGGTTGATCAGTTCATCCGAGACCAGTTAACCATACTTCTGCCCACTGGCCCCGGGGGAAAGCGGCAAGTCTCAGCCAGGTCAGTGACAACATGAACCAGATACCGGGCACAAAGGTGGACCCGGATATGTTTTTTTCGGCATTTGATCCGGTGGTTTGATTTATTCTACTGAACACAGCCTCGGCATTCAAAGGTCAGCTGATAATTGTTGAGACAAAGTGTACGATTTCTTTCATTAGATACTTGAAAAGCTAAAAATACAAAGTAGGTAGGATGGAAATGGAGTGATTCGAAACAGGGGACACAGCCAGGCAACATCGAACACTAATTTAAATCTGATTAATACCGTAATGTTTCAGACTCATCACTTCAACCCCTCCAAAAAAAAATCTCAGTTTCTCATTTGATTAGATGGTCGATCGCGGTCACAGACTAAGTAACGAGTTAGATGAAATTTCATCAGTAGCCCCCCCCATCATTTATCCTTCATGCAAACATCTCCACGGACAGCCAATCCGATCAACACTCGCGCTACCGCAGAGCTCAGTCATTAAATATGATTAACATTTCATTACTGTCTCACTTTTCACCTGCCAGCATCACAGGAAGATCAGGAGAGGAGCTTATAAGAGCTGAGCCTAAACTAACAGCTCGTGTAAAGATCAAATTGATCATCAGATATGAGAGAGAGAGAGAGAGAGAGAGAGAGAGAGAGAGAGAGAGAGAGAG